AATCCCTCAGTGGGTGAGAATGAGGACGGGTAATACCATTAGGTAAGTATGTGTGTACACTTCATTTGTCAAGACATCCTTCACTAGTGTTATGAGTTGTACATCAAAGACATACATACATAGGAATTTGGACTATGATAAATAAAAGATTCATTCAGGGACTGAAAAGTTGGCTTAAGCAATAACTTGCATCTATACTCTCAGACTGAGAGAATTTGTGTTGCCCCTGTCTTCTGCGTTTGTCAGTCAATTTTAAGCAAATTTAGATACATCTTGCAGGATGTGATGTGACATATAGCATATTATAATACATCTGTCACCGTAACGCCATAAGTTACAGTGTGCCATAATTTTGCAGTGTTTTACAGGGCATTTTTATCCTACTATAGTAGGAAACGCGAATTCCAAATATGGAATGAAGTTTACTGATTCTGTTCAAAACATTTTGGATTTCGGCATTCCCATGATGTATCCATGGGAGGAAAAGATGTATAATAATATGGATACCGAATAGTATGTACTCGGATAGTACACCATCGCATTGACCTCTGCTGCACATCGGTTGATACTTCTGCTGTACTGTCTTCGTGCATACTTTGAGGTATTCTCATATTAACCTCATACTATGTACTGTCTAGGTGTAAAATTTTTAAAATGATCTGCCAAAACTTTTCCAAGACGCATGAAGCCCTTAATTAATAGTGTCAGTTTTTAGACTTTGACCTCCACTGCGATACTTCTGCTGTACTGCCTCCATGCATACTTTGAGGTATCCTTGTAATAACCTTGTATTATCTTCGGGGACAGAGCTACGTCACAGACAATTCCACGTTGCAAAGACGCGTACCACTGTGCCATGCATTTCTATGGGCTCTATGCGCACTGCTGTGGAACGCCGATCGAGCTGATGAAAATTTGAGAAAACAACACCAACTCAACTTTGAAGTAATCCTGAACAACCAAATCTATATATGTTACACACGTAGGGCTAATCTTGTTACACTGTTCATGGGAATCTCAACAACCATCCCAAAGTACTGTTTTCTGCGAGTTTTTGACAATTGTTTTCACCGCAATGGTTGCCAGGCAGTGAGAAAGTGCCCGGATGTCCGCCCCGAGGATACCATATATATGATGATGGAATTCTCAACAGTAATTATATGATGATCATTGTTCTTGTTTCATAGATATAATGCTAAAAGGCGTCACTGGAGAAGAACAAAACTTAAGTTGTAAGCAGTCTTTTTGATATGGATAAAATACACTGGAACTCCACTAATCTTTCTGATGAAAGCTCTACATGCACTGGAACCACTTCCCTCTCTGATGAAAGCCCTACAGTATCTGATGCGAAAATGTCATGCCAATCATGAGTGATGATTTGCAGTCTATGAAGTGACGTAATTTCTGTGTATTGTGTTCATATAAAGAGAAAGTAAAGATAAAGCTTTCTTGAATTATTATGTAGTCTGTTATTTGTTCATGATTTTAGGGGGGGGGGGGGGTACTATCTTTGTTAGAAGTTCTTTTGTGTATTCAAATTAGTACAATGCCTGACAATGTTACTCAAAATCAGAAATGCCAAGTGAAAAGGCTCTTCTGGATAGGACTATATGTTCCGGTATCAACTGCAATCCAAGTGTGAGGGATTTATCTGATTATAAAAACTGTCCTAATCCAGCTATAGATGTGCATTTTGTGGAAATTTGTTACTTATAAAAATCACATGTATTGTGTTCACACATGTGCATAATGATCAATTAATGATGCAACACTAAAAATCGTGTATCCCACAAGCTGAAGACTGTTCCAGATAGCTCAAACCCTAGTTATGTATTTTTAGCGTGGTGAAAAATTTCATTTTTCACGTCCCGTCTGTATTGTAAATGAACATTTTAAAACTAAAAAAAAACTGTTACACAAGGTTAGAAGCCTACTTGTAAATGAAAATACCTAGAATTTGGAGAAATAATGGAGAAATGCTGACGTGAGGAGCAAAAACTCAATTTTAAACAACTTGAAATATTCCCAGTTTTCAATGAATAACTGATGTAATGTAATGCAATAATATTGTAATACATTTTGGGCTACAGGGTTTAATGTATTTAAGATTCTGACTTTTTTATTTGAAATAGACTATGCCACGATAGAATTTCTAGACCCATTTACTACTGGTAACACCAAAGTGGAGTGAAACCACAGTGTACTGTTACAGCGAGTCTAAAGTATTAAGTTTCCTGACAGTGTGTTGTTTACAATAATGCAACAATGTTTGCATTTTTATTTTGAAAACCGACCCTGATACGTCTACTAGGCGTGGGGCTGGCATGTCTATTCTGAGTTTTGGTGTAAAGTTAGTGTTGGTTTAGAAAAAAAAAATTGGTTTACACATGTACCTTAACTTGGTCATGCATACACTCTGGTTTTTACTACCCCTCCCTGTCATAGTAACGTAGTATCGAGAGTGACCATGATCTGGACGTCGTAAGAAAGTTCTTTTTGAATTGGTTTCTTTTGCTAAAGCTCCATGATTGTACACAAACCAAGAAACATTGTCATGCAATTCATGATCCACTTTCTAAAAACCATGACATTTATGGCATGAAACTGCATGTTTTAAAACAATTGGTCAAAAAATTATGTGATTCAAGGTCCCCATAATGTTGGATGCAAACTGTACAAATTTTAAGCGAAATCCATTTTCACATGACTGAGAACTGGTTCTGGAATGACAAATACTTGTTATTCCTGAATTGTTAGCATTAAAATGGCCACCATTTAACCATTTCGATTGGATCATGTATCCAAATGTGTATGTATGTAGTTAGAACATGATTGTTTCGAGATACAGGTTCAGAAATTTCATTGTATAAACTGTTCCTCGGGCATCTCCTGGCAAATTTCATCCAAACTTAGTATAAACGTAACATGATGGATTACTGATGCACGCAAGTTTGTTTTGTGATTTGATTCAAACTGGTAAATTGGAGGGTATGTTGGTTTTATTTTCACATGTTCTTAACCTTTACTCGCACATGCTTTAATTGAAATTACCCTAATATGAACAACACCCATGTTTTATTATTTTATAAAAAATATATAACTGGTTTATTTGTGGATTATAAAATTGTTTACAATACGAGAATCATCTTATTCATCGGTGCTATTACTTTGAACAAAACCTGGAAAAGGCTAGATTCGAAGTAACACAATATTTTTAACATGCTGAATACTGCACCAACATTTGATAATAAATGAAGATAAATCTGCAGTGAGATGATGAATTCTTGGAAGAAATGCTGTGCCACCCCGCCCCCACAGCTGGATTATTGCCATTCTTTCTTTTTAATGTTCTTGACAAGTTTAAAAAGTACAACAAACTCAAGCATGAAGTGAGCTGTCATTGATGTCTTTATGTAAAAGATAATGCACATATGGAGTGTATTTGTTCACATATTTTATTGACACTGCCCTAGTTTGCATCAAATATATGAACAAATTTATACACATTATCTGACGTAAAATAGCACCTGAAGTTTGTACTGGCCAATACCGTCATTATGTTAGTATGAATGTGTACATGTGTTTTGGCCTTTGTGCTTAGAGTTGCAAGTACAAAGCCAAGCAGGGACATACTCTAGTACTAGTACTTTTTTTTTTTATAAATATAAACGTCACAAGGTCTCCAAAACTTAAGACTTTACTCTGTAACTAGATAACCCACTCAACAAGCAATATCTACATTATGTCCTTCACTTGGACATTCAGAAAATGACCCACAAGAACAAGAGTTAGATCACACAGTCTTGTAAATAAGATTAATGCATACACACACTCTTTTTACACAGGCACTATTAATTATGCGCATAAATAATTGAATGCATACCATGTGACATTGGAATGACTATTCTAATGCATCTATTTGACATGAACATCCATCAGAATCTGCAATAACTCAGTCATTGAACATCAAGTGACCTTGATGTTGTTTTACACATCAGATTCAAAATTGCTGATTTTGAGCCACCATATTTTAAAGAATGTTGGCTCAAAGATATGTCCTGATTGGTTGCAATCAAAATCATGTTGTGCATCATCTGATTTGCACCTTCCATCACCATCTCTATGAAACCATGGTTGATCATGTTGAGAAAAGCTATATTTGACCTCAGTTCAATTGAATTAATTGATTGGATGTGCCAAGAAGCTGAATCCATCAATCAGCGTTCCTGTAAAAACTCAAACCAATAGATTTTTGTCGTCTTATATCACGTCATATCTAAACTGACAGAAACACGAGACTTTTTGTTTCATTTACCATAAAAACACATCAAAGTGCACACCACTGTTTGATTCAACAATGAATACCGGTACAGGTTTATAATTGGAATTCTCCCAAGGTACAATGGTTAACCGTTAAGTGACTGCTTAATAAATGAACCTTGGCTGGCAACGATTTCTGACATGCATTTATTTCAAGTTTGGTTCAAAATGGCCGACTTGTCTCTGTTGTAAGAGAAATGCACAAAGATAATGAATGTCCTTGTGAAACTACATTTCAGGTTTTGATGGATGGTGTTTGTACAAATGTGATAGTATTTGCCAGAGCTTTTAATTTGCCACATAGATATTAATGATTACTCTTGGTAATTAATATGTAAAATGTACGTGTATATGAACTTGCATTTCAAGTTCCCTGGAATGTGAAATATTCATCACGTGGCATTGTTGAACACAAGTTGTATAATAAATCTTGTGTTCAGTATTAAGTTATTACAAAACTGAAATAACTGAGTACAAAAAAGTGGCTTGTGACAAGATTGGCAGAAACTCATTTTGTTGCCCCGGTAATAAGTAACTGTAATAAGTATCAGTGTTACATATTGTCCCATTGATAGCTCAATTGGCATTCATCTTTTTCAGTGAATCTATTTTTGAAGTGACATGGCTGTTTAATTAAACTATGTATTTTTGTAAACATTTTTATTCTTTTAAAACACAATATTAAATATACATAGTGAAAAGTACTTTTACAACACAAATTACATTTGTTGCACTTTCAAGTGCATAAAGTCAGTTTTTTCAGCTCAACATTATACAGGTGTGTTTGTATAGATTGTTTCCTTCAGATCTATAATAGACAATAACAACCTAATCCTTCCATCTATGTCCACATTGGGGATGACAACACCTGTAGAAGGTGGTCATAGGCTCATCAGCTGACCTCGTCTGAATCTGCATGAAATAGGCCCTGTCGTGTCCACATTTCGGACAGGTTTCTGAAATAAAGAAAACGCACATACAGGTATAGTAACTATTCAGTGAAGTTAAACGACTATGACATGCTTAATGTTGGCAACAGTTTATAACCATACCAAATAGCAGGGCATGTGACACGCAGACATATCAATCTCGTGAAATAGTTCACGTGGATCTATCTTCTGGCACTCCCGTGATGCAATCACTTTAGTAACAATAGAGGGATAAGACAAAGAACCCTATTTAGAAAGACAAAGGAACAGCAAGTGCAACATTCTTTTATCTCCCACAGTAAGAGTATAGTGCCATGTAATAATTACATAAAGATCTAATAGAGTATAATTATAATTTATAATTTCTGGGTGCAATCTCCCACACAACCTGAGTCAATAATAATATTACAATAATAATAACTTTATTGCTTCCTGCCTTGGCAAAAAGTGATAATTTATTTAAAAAAAAAAATATTTTAGCTGATGTGTATAGGACCCAGCTTTGTGTCCTTCACTGTTTTAATTAAGCAATAACCCCCCACTGAAGGCGACATGTATGCACGAGCCGCAGGCGAGTGCATATATGGAGTGAATTGTGCAATATCAAGTGGTATACCCAACTTCGCGACAGGGGGTTATTGCTATTATATTATATATACTGGATATTGACAATTCGATAAAACTAGTAAAAAAAGAGTTTACTTTCATCTACTAAAAGATCATGATTATGGCCCTTGAACATGAATATTTATAAGAATAGTATGTAGTTGTACACTGAATGCATACAAAAATTACATGCGCAACACAGTTCAAATTGAATACAAACTAATTTTTATTCCGCATGAAAAAGAAACGTATTCACGGTGAATAGAGCAGCGTAAACACACAAATTTACATAACAAAAGATGACCTTTCTGACCTTTTACTGACTGCGTCAACGCGATTTGAAATACAGGGTCGTGTACAGTTTGGATCATTAAAACAGCGGATTTTCCACGTTTTCATTCCGTTTTTTGTACAATTTGGATTGTAATTTGCCCATTGAAAGTACTGTTGTGAAATAAACCGGTTTTGTTACTCTTATACTACTTGTAACTGTGGATATTTGACGTTCAGCGGTACTTGGTTCGACCGAAATTTGAGACGCGTCGGGACGTGGTGTATCATGTACGGCGACCGGCACGGCGACCTCAGTTCCAACATCTGACCTGGATACCTTTGGTATAACCAAAGTTTTGTGACAGTATGACTGACAAGTCTTGTCATTGTTTTGAGTGGTTTGATGGTGTAAGATCGGATTCTCGCATCATTTTTGTGACACGTACATGATATGCCTTGTCACAACTCCGGCCGAAAGAAAGACTTTGCACGCCGTCGCTCTAATGCAGTGGTTGGTGTACACTCGGCACAAATCTGCAGCTTTCAAAATTACCTTCATCATCTCCTGTAATTTATTTACCCATAGTGGAGAATTACAATACCAGCTAGAATTCGAACGCCGCTACGGGACACTGGTTGTTATTGGTGGCATACATTTTTGCCTGTGACTTTCAATCCCTCAATCTTATCTAGTACTTAAGGATCATGTTTTCTATGTTGGAGGCTTGCAATCCATCTCAAAGTCACAACACGGAGAACACAGCGTTCTGGCGTTTGTTTAGGCACCTCACGGTGTTGAAGGAAGGTGGTTTAGGTTTGTGTGACAAACCACAATCACCCAACGACCGACGCTCACAACTTGGATCCCACCATTAACAAAAAGCTTTTCAGATGTTTTTAATTCAGTATTTTT